TTATCTGTTTGGATTCTTTGCACTTAGGTCTGGGAACCCTTTAGTATCTTGAATTTTTTATAAATGTTATTGGGACCAGGAGGTCACATGAATGCTCATTCAGTGAGCACTATGTAGTGTTGTAGATTGTTTTTAAAAGAAAATTTAAGAAGCCAGGCTTTCAACCCAACACAGGGGTCCTTTTCCTGATCTCCTAGGACTGTGTCTGGTTTGAGAGAGAGACTTTCCTCACCAAGAGGCTCATGCAAGTGAGGTCACCATGTGAGGTGACTTTGGTGCCACAAAAGCATGTTTCTCTGTGTGTGTGTGTGTGTGTGTGTGTGTGTGTGCGCGCCCGCACGTGCCCATGTATGTCCTCAAGTACACATACACATCTGTTTCCATAAAATTCTTTCTCTTTATAATATCCATTAACTCTTACCAACAAATGCAAATTTAGTACCTAAATGTGGAAGAGGTGACTACCACGGGCCCATTAGAAACATGGGCCAATGAGTAAAGTATAATGGGAAACTGCAAATACTGAGAACTGAATGAAAAGAAAGATGCAACAAAACTTGCCACACACAGCTAAAGCAGCACCTACAAAACAGACGTCAGTTGACAGGAGAAAAGCCAGAAAATCGTAAGCTAAGTATCAAAATTAAGCTGGAAAGCAGCAACAAAATAAACCTCCAAAAAGTAAAAGGAAGAAAACAATAAGAATTAAGAAATGTAACAAAATACACAAAATACACACACACAAAAAAAATGTAACAAAATACACAAAATACACACACACAAAAAAAAAGAATTAAGAAATGTAACAAAATACACAAAATACACACACACACACACAAAAAAAATGCTGAGCCAGCAGAAAGGATCGACAAAGCCAGATGTTGGTAGTTGGCCTGCCTAATTACATAAACAATCTCTGGAAAGATAGGTCAAAAATAAAGAGAAGACACAGATAACCTGTAGTAGAAAATACGATGGCACAATTACAGATACTTCAGAGAGTTCCAAAAATAGTAAGGGAGCATTATGAGTAACATCAAGCCAAGAATCGCCCATAAACACATATATACAATAACTGCAACAAAACATGATACCAAAACTGACTCAAGAGTAAATAGAAAACCTGAAAAATCTTATTGCTAATACAACATATCAATAGTTAAATTTTCTTACAACAGAAATACCCAAATTCTTAAACAGTGAGTATCCTAAACTGCAGGGAACTTACAGTCCAATCATAAGTATAATTCACAGAGAACAGCAAAGGGGCCACACTGCCTCTTACATCATGAAGCCAGTCTAAATTTGATTCTAAAACCAGATGAGAAGCTGAGACAGAAAAACTATAAAACAATCTCACAAACTTAAAGGTAAAAATTGTAAGTTAAACATTAGCAAATAAAAAATCTAATGAGATTTTTAAAAATATAGTCTACCGTGACCAAACTGTGTGTAATCTGGATATGCCAGGATGGTTTAATAGTAGAAGATTTTTAAAGTGCCAGTCACCATGTTAACAGTGAAGGAGAAAAGAAGTTACCACATTAGATACAGAAAAAGCATTAGATAAAAGTCAATAACATTTCAGGACAAAATGTCTTAGTAAAATTGGAACAGCAGAGGACTTTCTTAATCTGATAAAAGGTAACTACCAAAAAACATAGTGAACCTATACTTAACAGTGAAATATTAGAAGCACGAAATATTAGAAGCACCCCCTTTGCATCAAAAATATAATCTGCATAATCTCCACTTCTATCCAACATTGACCCTCTAACCTCCACAGTAAAAAAAAAAAAAAAAAAAAAAAAAAAAAAAAAAAAAAGATAAAGAAGTAAACGTGTAAGGATCAGAATGAAAGACATAAAACTCTCATTGTCAGATGATGTAACCTCAATAAAAAGAGAATCCTCAAAGTATTATTAATAAAAGAACCCAGCAAAATGTCTAGATACACTAACATTTTTAAGGTTGCATTTTTTTTACATCTACATTAAACAGTATGTGTAATTTTTACAAAAGGAATACTCTTTATAATAGCAAGAAAAGATATAAGTTTACTATGAACAAACATATCAAAACCTGCTCAGATTTATATGGAGAAAATTCTACAGTTTTTTGGAAGTCATTAAAGAAGTCCTAACTAAGTAGAATGATATGTTCATGAAGAGGAAGACTCGATATTAGACCTCAGCACAATTCTAATAAATATCCTGGCATAATATTTATATGGCCAAGAATGGCCAAGAGAATTGTGAAAAAAAAATATAGTGAGGAAGTTGCCTCCTTAAATATCAATGTGTGTGTGTAAAGCAACCATGACTGAACTCAGGTAGCACCGGCATGGGCACAGATGGGTAGAGCAGATTAGAAGGGAGAGCCAGAAACAGACCCCATGTATTCCAATTAGGGCTTCTAATATTTACAGAATTGTTGCAATCCAATATGACAAAATAAGCAATCTAACAGAAAAATGAATAAAAAATTCTTTATCAAGGAGGAAACAGATATGTTTAATAAATGTGAAGTTTATGTGAATAAATGTGAATAAATGTGAAGTTACTCACCCTCTTTAGTAATCAGAATGTAAATTGAAATCCCAGTGAAACACTATAGGTTGTTTACAATAGTCTCTTTATACTAAACATTGACCAGGATGTGAAAGAGGAGCTCACAGATGGCACAACTGTTGTGGAGACTGATTTGGAGCTGTTGAGTAGGGCCATAGATAGATGCTTTCTTCCAGCCTTAACATAGCTCACCTTGTGCTAGTCCATTGGCAAATGCATGGCCGACGGGCGCTGCCACTAGGGGCTCCAGGAGTATGCGCAGGGATGGTGCCATGTCCACAGCAGTGTAGTTTGTCTATCAATAAATGGGAAATGATAGAATGAATGGATTGGGATATGTGCCTGCACTAAAACCCCATGAGGTCACACAAATGAGTGAGCAAGAGCTCTGTGCATGAATGAATGTAAAACTCATAGGTCTATTTTTGGGTAAGAAAGCAAATTATAAAAACATACACGGAATTATAACATTTATGATAATACATCTTAAGTTTATCTTACAGTATGTTTGGCAGTGTGCAAAATAATATAGATTGCTTAGGGATTTGGAGAGAAAATTCTGTAGAACTGCATGAGAGTAGGAACCCATATTCAGCCTTGAGGTCTCTTGTGTGGGACAGGGAGAGGAAGCAGGTGAGGGACAGGGATATTTAACTTTTATTAATACTTACAATTTAAGTTTTGTTTCATGAGCAAGGGGTGGTGATTTATTCTTTACATCTTTTGTATGGCTTTAATAAGTGCAACATTTTTTAAATTAAAAAATGTTGGAAAGGTCCCTGCTGAGAATGAGAAGGGGAAGAATGGTCTTTGTGGACAAAGGGCAGAGTTCTACTGATAACCATAGATATTCACATCCTTCTTGGTCCTCTCTCTTTAAGGCTAGGCACAGAGCTCTCTCTAATGCAGAGAGACCCAAAGGACCTCCCCTCCCCAAACCAGTGACTCCCCATAAAATGCCTATGATGCAAGAAAAGTCCCATACACACACAAAATCAGGTGCAATCAATTTTCTTCCACAAGTCAAAGAAAGAATATACACTAGACAGCTTATTATTCCTACTGACTTTGTCTGTCTTTAACCTTAAAAAAAAAAAAGGCTCAATGATCTTTTACAGAGAAATCCAGCTTCTCTCTCACTTCCTTGGTAAGCCACATCCCAGCATCCTATTTCATGCTCACTGGGTTCTCTTTCAGAGACTCTCACGTTTTATTTGTTTTCAAGCCCAAGCTACTGTCAGATTAACATTTCTTCTCTAGTTTGCCCTTAGGATACTTTATTTGCCACAAAATTGCTTTGTGATGGTGTCACCACACTGCCAATGAAGCGGAGCAATGGCAATTACCATAAAGCACAGGTCCTTCAAAGGCCTGTCCAGTGAGAGTTTGGGTCTGAGTTCTGCAGAATGACTACCAGTGTGAGTGTTCTGTGGGCAGACAGGTGAAAGAGGACCCCTGTCTGTAGCCCAGGGCATCCTGGCCTTCTCGCTCGTTAGCCTGCGGGATTTTCACCCCACACACACTTACTGATGCCAGCAGGGTCAGGCACTGTACCGTCCCTGGAAAAAGAGAGGAGCAAATGCTAACCTCTGTGGTTTTCCCTCTTGACACTAATTCTCCAACTCTGCAGACACCAGCTGGGTGTCCTAAACTCACTCCTATTCTGACTATAACTACCTAGAGGTAGCGTCAGACTCCACAGGATTAAGAGCTCAGTCCCACCAGCCTGCCCCCACTTCAGATGCCAGGCACAGTGTTGGGTCTCCAGGTTACCCATAGTTCTGTCCACCATGGCTACAAAGTCAGGGGGGTTCCCATAACCCCTGCCCCAGGTTCAGTAACTTACTAGAACAACTCACAGAATTCAAAAAAGCATTTTACTTAGGTTTACAGGTTATAGAGAGTACAAACGAAGAAATGCATGGACAAAGTACAAGTGGGGTGGTAGGTCACGTGGCTTCCATGCCCTCTCTGTGTATGACACCATCCCGGCATTGTGAAGCATTTACCAACCCAGAGCTCTCCAACCCTGCCACTTAGGAGTTTTTAATGGAGTTTCATTCAGTAGGGATGATTGCTTAAATCACTGGCCAACTCATCACCAGCCCCCTACCCTCCCTGGAGATTGGAAGCCATGGAAGAGAGCCCAGCTCCCGGCTATCATATTAACATGCAAAACACACTCTTATCACTGGGAGATCTCAGGGGTTTTAGGAGCTGTGTGCCAGGAACCAGCAACAAAGACCAAATATTTGCTTTTTATTCTAAGACTCCCAGGTACTCGGAGCAGAGACAGGGCCATGAAGGCAGAGTGGTGTTTAGGGCAGGGCCGGAAGCAGGTGCCTGAGCTGAGGCAGGTGGGGAGAGGGGAGAGGTGGTCCAGTCTAGGGTGCTTGGTTATCAGCCCTATCATTTGTTCTCTAAAACCAGGGTGAAAAAGAGATCAGACTTAACGGGAGCCTTTAAACTGGACCCCACTTACCTGAAGCACAGCCATCAGGATTCAGGTAAGCTGTGAGCTTGCTTTCTGTGGACTGTTTCTAGTCTTGTTCCCCTCAGAGTTGCCCTGGAGGTCCCTGGGAGTTAGGGGAAGACCATCCATATCCAAGGAGGCTCCCACAGAGGAGCTGGGGTGCTGTGCATTCCTGGATTTGCCCTCGCAGCCCATTCCCTGTGGGTGGGTTAAGAGGCCTGGGGAGGCTCCCTGGGGGAGGCTCCTGCTCTAGAAGTACTGAGAACCTGCTGGGCTCATTGCAGGAGCAGGGACAGGTGGGCACAGCCATGGGATTTTAATATGGGCATCTATACCTCCTGCAGACAAGGAAACATCTTTAACATAATGACGGCCATAATGTCTTTACAAAAAGGCTTTGCATCACCTTCCACCAGTACCATGAGGAGGCAAAGTAAACGAAGGAGGTTGAGTAGGGTTGGTGAGGGAAGAGAAAATAAGATGAAGCCAAGGCTCAGATCAGCACACCAAGGTGCACCTAAGTCATTTGGTCAGTAGGCCTGCTCTCTGTGCCTGGTGCTGGTGACAGCCAAGGAGGCTCAGCACTCGCCTGCAACATCTAGCAGGGAGGGGATGAGCGGGCAGTTATCAAGTGGCATCAGGGGACACAGGCTGCTCCAGGGCCACAGCAGGGAATGCACAATTCTTGGCTTTTGCACTTCACCTATGTCATCTCATTTGACTTGAGCCAGTATATCTGCCGATTAATGGTAGGCATTGAACTAGAACCAAAATAAGTAGAATTTTTTGATAACAGAAAATTCTGTCACAACGCTGGTGAGGGGGTAAAGTGGTTACACCAGTCATGTAGGCTTTGAAGATATATTCCTTATTAAAGATATACATTTGGAAAATAGAGTCAATGCTGGGCCAGAAAATTCCTGTAATCCCACCACTCAGATGCAAACATTGCTAATATATTGCTGTATTTCTTACTAGTCTTATTCAATGCATTGTTTGCTTTGTTTTAACTGTGCACCACTTACCAATCACCGATATGCAAGCTGCCCTTCCCACACGTATCTCATGAAGTTTTACGTCTTATGAGGCACCTAAGACCTATTAAGTAGTCCACAGTTCAGGTAAAACCATTGTTAGAGGAAATTGCTGGCTAAGAGGTTTGTCATTTCTTTATGTTAACAATAAAGAATTGTGCAAGGAAGCTTCTAAATTGGGCCAGTTCTTCACTCGTCCATAAGGAAGCAGATTCACGGAGAAGCAGATAGGAACTTGCACTAATTAGACACCGTATCTGAATTCTTCTACTGAAAGCCTCCAGTTTTTCCATCCTGTAGAAGCTTCTGCAATGACAGAAATCTTCTATAATTCTGCATCACCCAATATGGCAGCCACCAGTCCGCATGTGGCTAATGAGTGCTTGAAATGTGACTTGTCTGTTGAAGAACTAAAGTTTAATTTCCTTTAGTTTTAATTAACTTAAATTTAAATGTCAACAGCCACATGTGGCTAGTAGCTACCGTATCAGATGGTGCAGTAATAGAAACTAAAAAGGTGGGGCATTCCCTCATTTTCATTCATGACAATCATCTGGTTCTTTGACTTTTTTTTTTTTTTTGAGACAGGGTTTGGCTCCATCACCCAAGCTGGAGTGCAGTGGTGCAAGCTTGGCTCACTGTAGCCTCCACCTCCCAGGCTCAAGTGACCCTCCCACCTCAGCCTCCTGAGCAGCTGGGACCACAGACATACACCACAAGTCCCAGATAATATTTTTTTTTTTTTTTTTTTTTTTTTTTTTGGTAGAGATGGGGGTTTCACCATGTTGCCAAGGCTAGTCTTGAACACCTGAGCTCAAGTGATTTGCCTGCCTTGGCCTCCCAAAGTGCTGGGATTACAGGTGTGAGCCACTGCACTGGCCTCAACAATTTCTTCCTGAGTGCTTCCTGCATGCAGTCTGTTGGGTGCTTTGTTTCATTTGCAGTGGTCTCTGTGAGTCATTGTCAGATGCTGCTACTAATGTTATGTTTGTTTAACAAGCTCCCTTACTAATGAGAGGCCGTGTGGCATAAAGGAGAGTACTGGTTATGGGTTGAGATAGGCTGTGTGACTTTGGGCTTCCATCTCAGGGTCACTCATGAAACAGGGGGTGGAGGTCCTGCATCTCCTCCCAGCACTGCCATTTTTTATGCTAATGGAGAATGTAACTATTTTCTCCTGGCAGCCAGGTGGCAGTCAGGGAATGACATCAAGTGGTGACTTCAGATGTTCTTGTAAATACAATGTAGACTGCTATATGGTCCTGCCACAGCCCTTGTTGCCTGGGAAAGTAGGGGACACTGATGTGCCTGGTCCAGCCCACATTCGTGGATGTAATCCCAGAGCATGAGACTCCCTTCTCCACCGATCTGTGCAGCAGGACCTCAGCATGTTGTCATAATCCTCACCTGACGCCTTGCGCAGGATCACTTGTATTAATAGAAACTCCTGTCTATGAGCTTGCATCCAGGGTTCTTTCTCCTGGGATTTGCTGCTTCAGGCATGAGAGGAGGCTTAAAAGCAAATCAGCCATTTTTCATATGTGGACTCAGTGGAGCCACTGAGTCCAGGATAGTAACACTGACTCAACAGATATTCACTGAGTATCTGCTCTGTCCCAGATACTGAACTAAGATTTGCTAAGATCCGTGGATACAGAGATGAATAAGCCCACCAAGAGTTTCATTCTCTTCTTTTAAAAATATTCTAATCACTCCGTATATCACAAATTCACCTTCTCATGCATCAATGAATGAATGATGAATGATTTACGTGATCTGAACGCTAACTCTGTACTGGGAACTAGATGAAACCTCAGATGTTCATGCTATGTAACTGCAGAAAGCAAAACTAATGCGGGTCTATTGAGAGTGTAACATTTCCAATTTGTGTTTTGGGCACCCTGTTCTCGGGAGACTCCCCTTGAATATGTTACTCTGGGAAGTGCCACAAAGAACACCCAGACCCAGCCTTTGGGTAGTTTTATTTCTGACTTAGAAGACACAAGAAATTTACCTGGAGGATGAAAAGGATTAGCGTGTGATCAACAAACCTGTCTAATGATTTCTTTTTTCTTTTTCTTTCTTTTTTCTCCAGGGCTTATCACTGATTACCGGGTAAGTGGGAGATTCCACTGTAATCTTAAAAGCCAGTGGAGTGCTGGGGAGCTCCTCCGGAGTTGTCACGGGTCTCCTCCCCACTCTCATGACCAGCACGCACTGATGGGCACCTTCCAACGGAGTCCTAACTGACACATTAGGGGGGTCCTGTCAGGCGGCGGGCAGTTCTGCTGAGCCCCAGAGTCAGAGGTCTCAGGTTAAGAGGGGGAAACCTGGACCCTGGACTTTGCTCCTGGGGAGGGAGAAGGAGCCTCTGCGCCCCCCATTCCTCTGGAAGGAAAGGGCCCCTCTGCCCTGGGCTGCTGTGTGCCTGGGGCTGCACTGGTGGCGGCAATGGGAGAGTGAGGAGTCAGGGAACATAAAAAGCTCCCAGGTGGGGCCAGTCATCTCAGCAGCCTAGTCTCAAATGCATTGGTCCTCTCTCATTTTTATTTGCCAAAGTGTTGAATGAGGCATACTTTGAAAATGCCAGGTTGTTCTAGTGTTAGTCTGGAAAGGAATTTGGAACCAAAGGCAGTGGCTGCGAGGCTTATTGAAAGAACAGAACCCAAGGGGGAGGGTGAAACTCAGGGGAGGCAGAGGTGTGGCCACTGAGCTGGCTGTCTTCTGCTATCAAAAGATGACCTGTGGCTGGGCACAGTGGCTCACACCTGTAATCCCAGCACTTTGGGAGGCCGAGGTGGGCGGATCATCTGAGGTCAGGAGTTCGAGAACAGCCTGGCCAACATAGTGAAACCCCATCTGTGCTAAAAATACAAAAATTAGCCGGGTCTGGTGGCGGGCATCTGTAATCCCAGCTACCCCAGAGGCTGAGGCAGGAGAATCGTTGGAACCTGGGAGGCAGAGGTTGCAGTGACCCGAGATCGCGCCTCTGCACTCCAGCCTGGGTGACAGAGTGAAACTCTGTCTCGAAAAAAAAAAAAAATGATGACCTGTGTCCACTTCTTTCTAGTCAGGCGTGGTGGGCACCATCAAAGCAGAGGCTGCCATTTCCCGACAGAGGTGTGTGTCTAAGTGCTATTGGAGCAAACATTGTCAGTAGCCGGTGTGATAATGACCCAGCAGGGGCTGCCCCTCAAAGGCATGTGTAACTTGCCTTCTTCCTGTGACAGCTGTGAGCCAGGAGGGAGTGGGCAGCAGTAAACCTTCCCAAGCCATCAAGGCTGGTCCCAGGACAGTTTTGGCAAAGTTTGCCTGGGACCACCCAGTTCCACACCCAGGGAGAAAGGCCAGGGTGTGTGCACATAAGGGCACAGTGGGAAGATCCATGGATGATGCCATTTAAAACTTTCATATAAATCCCCATTAACAATCTGACTTATCCTTTAAAAAGTTATTATTGAAGGGAAACTATGACAATAGTATTAAAAATAACTTGAGGACCTGCTCACCCTGACCTTGTATCCTCACACTGCCGTGGCCTGTGTTTCTGTCTCCTCCTATGGCCTTTCTCAGACTTCATGTGGCAGGAGGGCCACGTGCTGCACAGACCACACTGCAGCTGGTTCTCATGTCACTGAAACTAAAATCGCAATACCTTCTCCACTCCTCCACAGTACAGAAAGTCTACACAGAATCCCATGTTATGTGGTATAATTATCTCCCTGTTATTTAACTACTTCCCTGGGAAAGTCCCTTGCTTTCCTAAATGACTGTGCAGTGAGCATCAGGCACATCCAGCTTTCTGCTGAGGATGAGCTGCTTCCTACGGCATGAGACTGAAAATGAGGTAACAGGCACGAATATTTCATGCCTTTTATTTTATTATTTTTTAATGTTGCTCCTCCTCAGCTTAGATATCATTAGAAAAAAAAAGGCACGACACCATCTCTGGTTCACATAAAATAACATAGGCTTTGTTAAAAACTCTGTATTGACTAACAAGTCCTCTAGGAACCAAAGTCCTTTTAAATAAATTTGGCACTGTCTTTCAAAGGCCTGGGGCACCATCCCCAGCAATGCTGGCTTATGTTACGTTGCCCAAGACAAGAACCAGCCCAGTTGTGCCTGCATCTAGCAGCTCAGGGAACATGATCTCCTCAGACAGTTTCTACTGTTCACCAAGAATCACAGATCTGTACTGGCACCCGCCTGCAGGACCACGAAGATGGCAGGGCTTGCCTGAGGCTTCCCCCGCCTGTTCTTCTGCTCCAGCCAGGGCCCTTCCGGTCCTCAGGGCTCACTCCTTCTCCCCAACCCTAGGCTCTTCATCCTATTCCCTCCACCACCAGTTCCTGACCCTCATGGGGTGAGGAAAGAATCTGATCCCTGTCTTTCTGTCCCCTTCTGTCTTTAGTGCTGAGCCTCACTCTCCTCAGCGCCTCAAGCCACAGCCCCTTTCCCCACTGCTAATCCAGAAGACTTGAGCCCACCATTCACCTCGCCTTGATGGGCCATGTATTCTTCAGGAAGCGATTGTCCTTCTGTTACTTCAACTAGTTCTCTCTACTAATTATCTCTACCAGCTTAATGAAAGGCATTGGCCTCAGTTAAGGAAAGGTCAAGCATCAGCAACCTGTGCTCCAGCCTTACTTTCAAAGCGTCCTTTGGGCAGTCCCTGTACTCCCCACCCTATTGGTCCTGCTATGAAACCTGGATCCTTTTCACCCCATCTCAAGGCAGCCCCTTGACTGGCGTTCCCTTTCCAACCAGGAGTTATGAGCTGCTCTTGCAGCTACTCAGAGGTGAGTGAGGCCCAAAGCTGCCTCCAGGACTCCCAGGCCACTGAGGGAGACAGAGGTGCAGACCACGCAGGCCCTGATGCATGTTCTGAAATACACCTGAGATCCTTCAGGCTGCCCATTTGTGGTCCAAGAGGACATGCCCCAAGTCCTTAGCTAGTCCTCTGCCTGACAGCTCTCTTCTTGCCGCTTGTGGCAGGCAATGATGCTGAGGTCCCTGGCACGATAGCTGGCAGCGCATGAGTCAGGAGCCATGTGGGGACGGCTCTTGTTTGACTACCTGTTGCTTCTAAAGGAACCCAGGCAGGTGGGAAGCACCACAGCAGCCCAGCCCCACTGGCATCCACCAGGCTTGGGAGGCCCTCTGGGGTAACTGGCTTCTGTGCTGCTGCGTCCCTAGAGAGGGCCGGAGATGGCACATCATGTGTCCACAGCTGATATTTCATGGCTGATGAGGGGACAAACGCACGAAACTTATGAAAGATGGAATGCGAAGGTGGAAGCTGTTCTGGAGCAGAGGGGCTTCTAAATGTGAAGCACAGGCGTTAGGCCTCAGCAGATCAGCCCTAGGAAGCAGGAGTGGCCATGTGGGGACAGCCCCGGGCAGCCACTGGGAAAACACAAGTTGGCCGAGTGTGAGTGTGGGAGCAGCCTCAGGGCCCCTGGTGTGCAGAGCCCCCAGGGCACCTCTCATCCCAGCTTTGCCCTTTCTATCCCTTGGGTGCAGGCACAAGTGTCACTGCCTCTCACTGAACCCTCTCCATCTGCCACAACCCAGGGATGTCCCTAGCCATATTTCCTGGCATTTTCTCTTTGCCGCTATTTTAGCTACAGTGCAGTGACCTCTTTCCCTTTCTGTGCTCACACGCACCTCTCAGGCTCCTCTATGATTCCCAACTTGAATGTGAATTCCAGGCAAATGTCCCCAGAGCATTTGCTTTGCTGGGCTCAGCAGGGAATGGGAAGGAATATCATAGACATTCTCATTTTGTTCAAAGAGGCTGGAAACTCAAACCTAAGGCTGTCACAGCCATCAGGCTGGGGAGAAGACCCCTGGACAGTGGGCTGCCTGCCGGGCCAGTGAGGAAGTGTGGGGTTAAAAGAACGAGCAGGCCCTGGTAGTTCTGCCCTTTGTCAGTGGATGAGGGCACGAGGACGGAGTGTTAGTCCCAGGAGGAGGCTGTTCAGGACGCGAGGTATGGCAAGAGAGCTCTGTGTTCTTTCTGATGGTGAACGGCGCACTGAAGATGTAAGACAGCACTATTTGCCTCCAGTTTGCGAGGTCCTGGGCAAAGTGGGCATCTTTGTGCCTATTTCATAGGGGAGGAGACAGAGGTTCAGAAAAGTTAAAAAGTTTGCTGAACCTATTGAAAGACAGGACCGTGGACCCAGGTCACAAGCTACAGAGCCACGCAGCCCTGCAGGCTGTTTGAATGAGGAAACTGCATCTTCTGGAAGATGTTGATGGCTTGTCAAAAGTGGGACAAAATACGGGTTTAAAAATGATCAATTGTGGAGGAAAAAGTACCAGGAAATAGCTCATTTGATGTTTGGGAAGCATCAAATATGAATTGGTTTCTACATGCAGAATCCTTTTAGATGACCCGTGAATGAGGGAAAAATGGGTTTTATTCCTGATTTATTTAAGTATGTCCGTCAACAATATTCCACAAAATGTCGGCTGGCCGCGCCGAGCCAGGCCGGGTGCTGGGCTTGGGGCTGGAACTAAAATGGCAAATGAGACACAGTCCCTTTCCTCTGGGAACTTAGTCTGGCAGGAGGTGAGGCTGGGTACACAGGAGTCCTAGCCGTCTACTGCAGGCGCCCAGGAGCATATTGGGGGAGGGGCCAGTGCATTGAACTCAGTCTCTGGAGAGAACATGACAGCATTTGGAGCCACATTTGAGTGAGCATTCAATTAGATGGTGTGCATTTTCACTCCGGGACCACAGAAATTAAGTTTACCTTGGTATTCTTCCAAATGTTAGACTGAAATCGCATTCTAATTTGTAGGAGGATGACTGGTCCAGGAATGATTTTGGAACGCAGCGCCCGTGCTGAACCGTGGCAGGGAAGCGTTGTTTTACTGACTATTAGTTAGACAGACAGTCAGCTAGTGGTGGGATAAGGGATTCTTCTTTTAGATTTCCCAAAAGACAAGTTAGCTTAGTTCTTGAGCAGCCCAGCAGCTTGCAAACGCAGTGCTTACTAGCAGACAACTGTGTGTGCAGGTTCAGCTCAAGCTCTGCCGCATTGAACAAGTCACTGTCCACACCTGCTTTCGCTCCAAGAAAGTAGGGATCCGAACCCTCATTTACAGTGCTGCTAGGAAGCTCAAAGGAGATAATGTGCCAACACACCGGGCAGGGCTTGGCATACAACTGGGGGGAATCACGCTGAATGCCTGAGTCAGAGGTTGGGTCCCTGTTTCCCTTTTGACCTGAGAAGCTCCTGCAGAACTCTGGCTCTGGGCCCTTGAGCTGCTTCTCTTGTGTTCAGAAGCAGCTGCCATTCATTCATTCCACCCACACTTTTATTTATTTATTTATTTATTTATTTATTTATTTATTTATTTTGAGATGGAGTCTCACTCTATTGCCCAGGCTGGTGTGCAATGGCGCCATCTTGGCTCACTGCAACCTCTGCCTCCCGGGTTCTGCCTCAGCTTCCCAAGGAGATGGGATTACAGGCATGTGCCACCACACCAGGCTAATTTTTGTATTTTCAGCAGAGAGGGGGTTTCACCATGTTGGTCAGGCTGGTCTCAATCTCCTGACCTCAGGTGATCCACCCACCTTGGCGTCCCAAAGTGCTGGGGTTACAGGTATGAGCCACCGCATCTGGCCTTCACCCACACTTTAAGAACCACCTGTGAGCCCTCCTTCCGGAGAGCAGTGTGGGACTCAGGACTCCGGCTAAGCAGTTCCACCTGGCAGATGGTCCAGCTGAGCTCGAGTGTTGCACTTGGCTGCACTGTGTCGCCCAGGCCCAGCAGGGAGCTGGCTCAGCTCTCCTCAGCATCTCCTTTATAGCTGAAATAGAATGTGACTATTAAGATGACCATGCAGTGCTGCTATGGTCACTTCCCAGCAGCCTCCTCATCCTAGTCCTTCCCTGCTCACTTCACCACATCTCCACCCCTCAGAGAGCGTGGGGGTCAGTCAGCTGACTAGGTCTGGGAAAACCAGAGGAAGGACAGGGAAAGCTTCCGGAGCCCAGCATGGAGACACACATTGTGTCTTCTGGTGAGGGATCTTGGGGTCACTCCATGGTGATCAGTGGGACCAAAAGGGAACCAGTATTGCTGTAGAAAACAGTGCCAGAACATCCAGGGCAGAAGTGGCAGATGAGCGGGTTCTGGCTCCCTCCATCCTAGGCAAGGACATCAATGAAAATCACCCCCTTATCCCCCTGGATGGTGAGCTCACTGGGGGCAGGGCCATGTCTTCCCTGTTTGCTCACCATGGAATCCCAGGGCCCAGCCCAGGGTCTGGCCCTACTGTGCACACCCCAAACATCTGTTGAATGAAAACAATGAACATTGCTGGCTCCCAGGTCAACAGTCCCTGTCTGTGTTCCTCTCTCTTGGAGATTTCCAAAGAAAGCCTCTGCCCACATCACTGAGGGCCCTGCTATCCAAGATGGGCCATGGCAGTGGGAGCAGGGTGGCCGCCTGGGAATCGGCTGCCTCCAAGAGAAACAGGTGAGCCAGTGAGCCGAAAAGGAAGCCTGCTTTTAATATCTTCCTCACTGATTGTCTGTTTCATGTTTCATTTCAGCACTGGCAGATACCACTGGGCCGAAGATTTCGCTCTTTGAAAATGTGGTTTGTATTTAGGATGTATGGAGTCAAAGGACTGCAGGCTTATATCCGCAAGGTGACCTTGTTTTTATTATTGATCTGGGTAAAATTGCAGAGGTCTTTCGGGACTTTAGAAATAAATTCTTTTTTTTTTTTTTTTTTTTTTTTTTTTTTTTTTTTTTTTTTTTTCTTTTTTGAGACAGAGTTTCACTCTTGTCCCCCAAGCTGGAGTGCAATCGTGAGATCTCAGCTCACTGCAACCTCTGCCTCCTGGGTTCAAGCGAATCTCCTGCCTCAGCCTCCTGAGTAGCTAGGATTACAGGCATGCGCCATCATGTCCAGCTAATTTTGGTATTTTAAGTAGAGATTGAGTTTTACCATGTTGGTCAGGCTGATCTCGAACTCCTGACTTCTGGTGATCCACCCGCCTCGGCCTCTCAAAGTGCTGGGATTGACAGGTGTGAGCCAATGCGCCCAGCCTTCAAATGTCGTAATAAGCAAATACACGGCAAGAGAATCAGACTGTAGTTTGGGTTGTTGAGATGAGGGTATTCATAAGATCTGTTAAGTCACTTTCATACAGATTGCTGGTTATCAGGTCCAGGAAGATGGTCACAGTAGAAACACCACATAGGTGGTGCTTTAGCCACATCTAGCCAAGAGTGAAGTTCATTGAGCAATGGCAATCATGACAACATAATGAATGTGTTTTTCTCCCCTAGATTGCCAGAATAAGATAGATATTCCCTAGACCAGTGGTTCTCAGACATGCTTCCAGACCAGCAGTGCCGGCCTGTGGTGGGGCCCAGCAACCTCTGTTTTAACAAGCAAACCAGACACCTTCTCTATGCACTGAAATTTGAGAACCACTCATCAGCTACAAGCCCCACTTCCCTGCTTTAAACAAAACAAAACAAACAAACAAACAAAACCCAAAAAACAATTGGCTGGGTGTGGTGGCTCACACGTGTAATCTCAGCACTTTGGGAGCTAAGGCGGGGGGGATCATGAAGTCAGGAGTTCAAGACCAGCCTGGTCAACATAGTGAAACCCTGTCTCTACTAAAAAAAAAAATACAAAAAATTAGCTGGGCATGGTGGCAGGCACCTGTAATCCCAGTGATTTGGGAGGCTGAAGCAGGAGAATCGCTTGAACCCTGGAGGCAGAGGTCGCAGTGAGCAGAGATCACGCCACTGCACTAAAGCCTGGACAACAGAGCAAGACTCTGTCTCAAAAAAAAAAAAAAAAAAAAATTGAGGAAACTGAGTCTTGAATATGAGCCCGGACCTGCCTAGAGCCACCCATTTAGCCTGCTGCAGAAGGCCTGGCGCTGTTCTGCTGGCTCCCTCTGATCCCAGTGTCCTTCCTAAGCTGTGGCCTCATCTTGATGGACAGAGGTCCCCAGGCTTCATGGGAACAAGCACACCTGTGATATTCAGCCTTAGTGATGGTGACAGTCCTCCATTTTAAGTCTTGTTGCCACTTCACAACCAGCTGTGCAGGGGCAGGTGTCCCCAGCCGCATCCTCTGTGGCACAGCGTATAAAAACACATCCATTTGCAAGCTTTGTAGAATACCTAGGATGTGCCATGAACTGTCTATTCCCAAAGCTTCGGTGAGGACAGTTCCAGGAGCTGCCGAGCACTATGAGGACCTGTTTGGGGGCGAGAACTGGGAAAGGAGTATGTATATGGATTCACGGGTAGGAAATGCCCCTCTCCCCATTTGAGACGAATTCAGTTTTTAGGGGGACAGAAAGCCAAAAAAGCAGGGATTTATCTCTCCACAATGATGACATGTTTAAGCTCAAGAACAACTAGTTATGATCATGCTGGCTCCTGTTTAAAACACACCCCACTTCTTTCTGAAAGGGGACCCAATCCTGCCTTAGGAGCAGAGTCCAGCGATGCTCAAAGCCTGTCTCCCTGGGCGGTAACCGAGTTTTGGGATCGCCCATGAGGCCGAGGTCTTTGGCGCCCTCTGGTGGCTTGACGAGGAACCGCTCGTATGACAGGTGTTTTGGTCCCAGCCACTCACTGCCCGCAATGGCGTGGCGTTTCCGTAGGTCCTCCCCAGCACTTGCAACGTGGGGGCCCTGCTATATGCGCGGGCTTAGAATGAGCAAGGCACGGGCCTACGCCACGGAAGGCTCCTTCTCCTAGGATCACATACTATCTGAATAACTTCTGAGTTCTATACCTATCTGGAACTGAAATAAGGTCAGTGTATTCAATGAAAGGAAGGCCGATTCTGAATGTGACAGAGCGGACAGGATGCCCAGCTCTAGGTGGCAAACGCCGAGGAGGAGCAACAGCTGTGGCAGCCACAGAGCTGCAGCTCCATCAGGCTGCCGTAGAACACCAGCTCAGCCAAGGCCTCCAGGTGCACCTTGGGCATGTCGCTTGCCCACTCCCAGCCTGTTTTCTTATCTGCAAAATGGGGACAATCACGATATCCTCTGTGTTGTGGGCTGTCCTGAAGATGCTGCAGTGGTGAGGCTGGCACCAGAAGCACAGAGGAGCAACTCGATGGGCGTTAGCCATTGTCTCTTCCAGAATGCTCAAATACCTCCTCACAGTGTTTATTCTAACATTATAAAAGACAGTTTGGGTGGGATAAACATAGTCCCATGAACAGAAGAAAATGACAGTTGGTGTTCTGAAGACACTAGACCTTTGCTAATGCAGGCAATGAGTTTCTTAGCCTGCCTGGGAACAGCTGGTCAGTGATCGGTACAAGCACTTAAGGAAAATTCCCAAGAGCAACTAAATGAATTATACATGTGCAGTCTAATAAGGTTGTCTAGGTAGTTAAGTTCTGAATTAAGTGGCCGTGAGAGAAACAGATTTTCCCTTTCCTCTTTCAAGCACGTCCAGCTGTCCCATGAGTTTGAGTCACTGGTGCTCCAGGATCCCCGCTTTGAAATCTGTGCGGAAGTCACTCTGGGGCTTGTCTGCTTTCGGCTGAAGGTTTGTCTACATCTATTCCATTCTTCATTTTCTGTGAATGTGACAGAGGGGAAAGTGTCATTCATTACCTCCATGCTCAAAAACTGGCCCTGGCTCTCCAGAGATGGGAGAGCAAAGCCTGCATTCTTCAGTCCACCAGCCTGCCCTGCCCGACGCTGCACAGCCTTGCTTCCATGCATGGGGGCTGTTCCCACTTCCTTAAGCCTGCCCTGAGACTTCTCACTTACACAGCTTATTGGTCCCAGAATCCTTACCATTTTTCCATCCCCAAGGCTCCATCCCACACCTCTGCCACTGGCCCTCCCTGGAGGACAGTGGCCTGTCCATAGCTTCACTAATCTGAGCATCTTCTGTGGATCAACAGCATCAGCATCATCAGCATTGCCTGGGAGCTCCTTAGAAAAGTCAGTCTTGGGCCCCATCCCAGAGCTGCTGGCTGCGTACCTTTACAAGATGCCCACACAGGAGTCTGTTTGACACTGTGCTGTGGCGTGCTGTTATTTTGCTCACCCGATGTTCACCAGGTGAGGGCAGGCTGGCCCACACAGGTTAGGGCAAAAGCCATCTGTGCTGAGAATCACGATACAGTTCTCAAAAAGGCTCTAAGATGCACTGCACACATGCCCCTTGGTAATCTCCCTTGTGTGCACAGAGCCAGGTGAGACCTAATGCTCTGTTTGTTTTATGTTTTTTTTTTTTTGAGTCAGAGTCTCATACTCTGTTGCCCAGCCTGGAGTGCGGTGGCACAATCTTGGCTCACTGCAACCTCCGCCTCCCAGGTTCAAGTGATTCTCCTGCCTCAGCCTCTTGAGTAGCTGGGATTACAGGTGTGCACCACCACACCCAGCTAAGTTTTGTATTTTTAGTAGAGACGGGGTTTCACCATGTTGGTCAGGCTGGTCTCAAACCCTGACCTCGTGATCCGCCCATCTTGGCCTCTCAAAGTTCTAGGATTACAGGTGTGAGCCACTGTGCCCAACCGAGGTAGCTTTTAATTCACAATCATTTCAAGCCTTTCCAGGAGGCTTCCTTTTTCAAATTAAAGACACTCAGGAGAAGGAACAGGCTGGGGTAGTGTCATTGTCAAGGGGCTGCCAATCAGAGTGTGGCACTGTCACTCCACCTACCATGTCCTTTTGCCTCACCTGACTTGGAGCTCTGAGGCAAGGAGGAGCTGTAGCCGTGGGAAAGCCTGCAGGTAGCAGAGCAGGAGAGGAGACTTGAGCTCTTGGAAGAGCACAAGTGATGAGACCTGGGAGGTGCACAGAGGACCAAGAGGGCAAGACACGCTCCGGGTGTTTGTGGGAGAAGCCTCAGTCCATCCACGTCCAGGATGTGTCCAGTCAACCAACCTTGGTGTTGGCATCGTACTTATTAGACTCATCTGCTGTCAAGCAGTTGTTTTCATTCTTATTTTTGCTGACAGTTTTCTTCTAGGACTTTTATATTCTTTTTTTTTTTTTTAAACAGTTCTATTGAGATATAATTCACTTTGTTCATTTCAAGTTTACATTTTGGCCGGGCGTGGTGGCTCACGCCTGTAATCCCAGCACTTTGGGAGACCAAGGAGGCCAGATCACTTGAGGTCAGGAGTTCGAGAACAGCCTGACCAACATGGTGAAACCTCGTCTCTACCACAAATATGAAAATGAGTCAGGAGTGGTGGCACACACCTGTAATCCCAGCTACTCCGGAGGCTGAGGCAGGAGAATCACTTGAACCTGGGAGGCAGAGGTTACAGTGAGCAGAGATTGTGCTACCGTGCTCCAGCCCGGGCAACAGAGCAAGACTCCATCTCAAAACAAAACAAAAAAAAAAAGGCTACATTTGAATATTTTTAGTAGATCTACAGAATTGTGCAGCCATCACCACAATCTAATTCTAGAACATTTTCATCCTCTGAAAAGAAACCCCACACCCAGTCATGCCATATTCCCCGTCCTTAGGACTACTAATCTGTTTTCTGTTTCTGTAGGTTTGTCTATTCTGGACATTTGTATAAATGAAATCATACAACATATTGCCTTTTATGACTGTCTTCTTTCACTTAGCATAATGTTGTCAAGGTTGTGGCTTTTATTTTATTTGCATAATTTATAGAGGCCACCAAACCCATCTATGTGCTGGTTTCTGTCCATTCTTCTCTCATGCCATATAGTGAGGCCTCTTGTGCAGGAAGCCCAGGGCATTTTTCAGCTGACAAAAGTTTCCTTTTGTAAACCTTTGCTTGCGCCTCCAGTCTGCAAATCCAGTTTCTGGAGGAAGCACATGAGTCAAACACTGTGGCTCACTTTTCTGCCTCCACATCTGCCATCTTGGCCTCACTCTCTCCTCGTCTAATCCTCTTCAATCTGAATTTCAGGCCCCTCATGCTGAATGCCTCAGTGCGTCATGTGGCTCTTTACTAAAGCAGATGTGATGTTGCTATGGCATCATGGTCCCTCTCCCTCCATCCTCATCGCGGCCAGTACTTGCTTGGTCTTCATCTGTGTGCACTCAGCCTACTTTGTTCATTGCCATTGTCCCACCTCTGCTAGGCTTCTTGCCTCTACTTCATGGAAGTACTGTCCTATCCAGTCTGTTTGAAAATGGCAAGCACGTTTTTCCTAAATAATTTGTTTCCTATTTTCTGTGCTCTATACTTTGCAGATGTTTGCTCTCATGCTGAGTCTTTTTGGTAACATTGCATTCCCTTGGTACCATCATTTCTTTTTTTCTCTGTCTTCATCCTTGAATCCTCATCCGGATTCACGCAGACCTGGTGTTCACTCACGGTTTCCAAATTTCCTCTGGTCCATCACTGTCTACCTAGGCACAACAGGAGCAGGGCACTCAGGCCCATAGCTAGAGGCCAGGGGATTTGCGCCGCTCTGTGCCATGTGCCAGCATCCAGCAGGTGCTCTCTGAGGTGGTTCCATGCGGTGGATAGGACTCTCCCCTTCCTACTCATCCTCCCTGCTTCTCCACTCTGAAGACAGGGCCATGAACTGCAGTCCTGCAAGGTTCGGGTGACTAGGATGCAGTGTACCACATTCAGTTCCTTCTATTTAAGACTCCATGGCTTAGACGACATGGAGTCACTGCCTGCAATCAGAAGAAGGACAGAGGAGCAAAGGGAGGTGGAGGTGAAGTGTCAGGAGACTGGCTGCTGTGGAATCAGGGCCCAGGCGGGACAGCAAGGGCTTCCCATTGGCTGATTGATACCAGGCTTCCATCTCTAGTATAGTGGGAGGGGTGGGGCCTCTGCCCCTACCCCAGGCTGGTGGGCTGTGCTCGTCTGGAGAGGCACCAATGGTTGCTCGGTCCTGTGGTTCATGGACATTCTTCCCAGATTCTGGCACTAGCTTGACCATTATGCTTCATTTTCTAGGTTGCTGAGACTCTTCTATGTTTCTGTGGGAATTTAGAGACTCCTCCCCTGGTGCCATCAGAAACCCCACTTCTGCTGTTTAAGCTCATACATTTGTAGATGATATATCTAGGGATCTTTATTTTCCTTAAAAAACTTACACCATGGAAGGGTCATCTTTTGATGGCACATTAGAATATGGAGAAATTATCTGTGGGGAGAAGATGCACGCAGTCTTTTAGGGTGCATTACTATTATTTTGTTGAATTTTGTAACATCGTAAATGCAAGGGGGATGTTTAGTTGGCTTCTTCCTGACATATGGCAAGGTTGCCAAGCACTGGCCTTCCTACATGACCAGTTGATGTTTGAGTCCTCAGAGACCTGAGCACAGTTCCTCTCTTTCAATCCCTCCAGGGTTCCAACAAAGTGAATGAAGCTCTTCTGCAAAGAATAAACAGTGCCAAAAAAATCCACTTGGTTCCATGTCACCTCAGGGACAAGTTTGTCCTGCGTTTTGCCATCTGCTCTCGCACTGTGGAATCTGCCCATGTGCAGCGGGCCTGGGAGCACATCAAAGAGCTGGCGGCCGACGTGCTGCGAGCAGAGAGGGAGTAGGAGTGAAGCCAGCTGCAGGTAGGCCGCCCTGGGCTCATTTTCTGCCTGTCTCCTTGTCCTGCAGCAAGAGTGTCCTCCTGGAGTCCAGACCCAGCTACAGGCCCAACCTGGCCACTCAATGCTGCCAGGGTGCGTTTGTCTTACCTGAAAATAAGGAAGAGAAGACCGGGTACATTGGCTCATGCCTGTAATTGCAGCACTTTGGGAGGCCAGGGCGGGCAGATTACAAGGTCAAGAGATCGAGACCATCCTGGCCAACATGGTGAAACCCCATCTCTACTAAAAATTAGCTGGGCGTGGCGGTGCGCATCTGTAATCCCAGCTATTCCAGAGGCTGAGGCAGGAGAATTGCATGAACCTGGGAGGCGGAGGTTGCAGTGAGCCGAGATTGTGCCACTGCACTCCCGCCTGGCCACAGTACGAGACTCTGTCTCAAAAAAAAAAAAAAAAAAAAAAAGAAGAGAAAATCATGTTAACTCTGGAGAAGTAGAAGGAATGATACATTTTAATAATTCTTTTAAAACTTAGATTTTTACTATTTATTCTCTTACATCAATCTCTATAATACTTTAGGTTTTTTCAAACAACATTTGTTGAGATAACTTACTATCATAACAAGCTCGTATAAGAAACTGGTGACCTTTAAAGAACTAATGAAAACAATAAAAAGGGAATTTATTGTGACTCACGACTTGCCGTCCAAATTCTTGATGGTTTAAAGAAAGGATATGTTTCAACTACCAGACTTCTTGCAGTTGTGAGGGGTAAACCCCTCACAGCTAAACCCTGTAGACAGCATGCAGTTAATTTGTAAAACCAAAGCACACATTTTAAATAAATGCAGTGTTGGCAACATGAAGGGTATTTACAATTATGTTTGTGGGAACCCAGACAACCTTAGAAAGTCTCTTCATTAGGTTATCTTAAGAATGTCATCCTGTTGGGATATGTCTACCTTTTTCTGTTTCTGTCTTTTTTTTTTTGTTTTTTTTTATCTTTTTGTCCCATTTGGTGGAAGACATCTGTGATCCCTCCTTAGGGTCTGCTTCTCTTTCTCTCTCTCCCTCTTCCTTTCGCAATGACTCGTTCATTACAACCTGTGGGGGATTTAGAATCTATAAGTCATGTAATGCATTTCCTGATTGCCTACAACTTTATCTTCTTTGCTATTGATTTTAATTGTGAATATCTGAAAAAGTATAGTGCTCAACAAGTCAGAAGTTGAAAATCATATTTCATATATGTGATAGACCTGTCCACGGCTCCTGAAAGTTGAGGCCAAAGAACTACCTTCTCAGTCAAAATGTACCCTGAGAACCAGGTCCTTTCCCTGGTGCAACCAGGGCCTTTCCCCACTCATAAACTGAGAGAGACCTGGGGTCTGAGGAAGACCTCCTGACCCAGAGCAACTCCAAAGTGGTATCTCAAGCATCTCTGGCAGGTAGTGGGGACAGGCTTATATGTTGAAGTTATTCTATTGCTCTCAGCATAAGACTGTGTGAGGGGAGGGAAAGTACCACTGTAAGCTCCATATGAAACAAATCCCTATCAGGCAAAAGCTCCCGACTCGCATTTCTGCAACCCCATGTTTGCATCTATCTCATAAGCCTGTATTGACACATGCCTAGAAGAACATAGGTGGAGAGTGTAGCTCTGAAAATTTATCAGAAACAAAGGTGTATTTCTCATCAGAGTCTCAGTTCCTCTGGGGTCATTGTATTTGCTGTAGATTCAAAAGGTAAAAATGAAATTCAATTTTTAAAATGATATGTGATACAATAGTAAGTCCTAATGCATGTATGTTGTTTTGGACAGATTAGAACAATAAAAATCTTAATACCTTGATTTTACTTGTACTTATTTGAGTTTATTACATCATATTCATGTGGTTATAGTTCTGAGAGAAAGTAGGAACTATTCATATTTTACAGAGGGTAGAAAATTAGGCAGACATTCTAGTTGACACTAATACAATTGTCATCAGAGAAGCCAGATTGGCAATAAAAATTCCTTTATTAAGTTCAAACTCTTTGACATTGCACAATTGTCTCTGTTTTTTGGGGAAATTATATATTCGTTCTTTGTATTCGAATAAGAAGCACATGCAATTCTTATTCTTTATTTTTTTAATAGAGCCATATGCTCATGCTATTTTTTTCCCTGTAGGAATCAAAAGTTGAAGAGAGATATATCTGAAAACTGGAATAAGAAGCAAATAAATATCGTCCTGGCTTCGTGGAACCGAGTCTGTCTGTGGCTTCCCATGTCTTTCTCCAAAGTTATCCAGAGGGCTGTGATTTTGTCTGCTTAGTGTCTCATCAACAAAGAAATATTATTTGCTATATAAAAAGTTAATCTTTGTGGCCATAGCTTTTATTCATCAGCTGTGATTTTTGTTGATTAAAACATCATAGATTTTCATGTTCCTGTAGCCATCAGAAGTGGCAAGAAAGCCTCACTGACATATTTTCCAGGGCAGTCTATGTTCATGCAACTTGAAATTATATCTGTGGTCTTTAAATTGTCCTTTGTCATGTGGCTAAATGCCTAATAAACAATTCAAGTGAAATAGTAATTGTGTCAGATGATCATCTTGTTCTATGTTGTATCAAATTTATTCTTGTGATACAGACATTCCCTCCAAAGTAGACAAAGATACAGCATCCTTGGGATGTTTTTAAATGGCATTCATTTATTCAGCAAATGTTCATTGAGTGCCTAGTATATGTCAGGCACTGTTCTGAATACATTAACAATATAGAAGTTTTACTTGGAGATGACTTCAACTTCTGTGGAAATAAAATTAGAATCAAGAGACAACCTGGAGCATTGAGATTGAAGTCTCTGCTGTGATGGGAAGGATTCTCTGGCTTTCTGGGTCTTGATCTTCTGGTCTGACAAGTCTATCTGTCCTAGAGTATCATGATTGATAAGCAACTGAAGAGTGCTTCTGTAAACATAAATTCCGACAAGGATGTGGTATTTACTCAATCTCACTTTAAGTTCACTATCTGTATTGGGAACCATTTTGCTTTTAGAAGCGTGTGTTTTAATCCCAAGATGAGTTCTTGTCCTTTGAAGACTACAGAGCTATCAAAGGCACTCTCAGAAAGGGTCCTTGGGTTATTAGTAAGTATATTTGAATTTCAAAGACCTCCAATATCTATGTGAACTAAGTGAATGATATGATCTGTTACTCAAAAATCTGGAAATATGTCAGATGCCAAGTGTTCCCCATCTAATTTATTCAGGTCATTTGTTCTCTACCCAACAGCAAATTAAGACCTGACCTCCACCATGATGTGGGGACAGAGGCTGTTTTTGGGGCCTACCAGGGGCCACCCTTGTTAGGACCAGTGGAGTGTGGAGCACTCTGAGTTGAGGCTGGGATGTCTAAATTTTACAAGATTCTTTTTCAACCCTTGAGTTAAGATTGCTGCAAGGGCTCTAATGTGAGCCACCGACATCATTGATACCAGCTTTCTGCTTTAGTGAGCTCATCCAGCCTCATCCACAAATATACTTCAGAAAGATGGCTGAGACCTGATGGGAGGGAAGAGACTGGGTGGCAGGGGCCAATGGGGATGCTGTACAGAAGCAGGGCAGGAGGCCAGCAAGTGACTGAAGATTTCCTCCCTCCGAACTGGCTGGATCCTTTTGATGGAGAGTCTAAGACATCAGCTTAGACACAGACCCAACAGAGAGAAAAGCTTGTCTGATTTCTCGTTCATTTCTAGGTAACTTATGGCAGTTCACCCCACCTCCTGACTTCTCCAGGTTCCTCCATAAAGTGGTTCTCAGATCTGAATTCCCCAGCCCTAGAAACAGGAAGAAGAACTTCCTCCCAGTTTATTTAACAGGAACACACCCATAGCACTTGCTGTATGCCAGGCACTGTTATACGTGTTTTAAAGTATTAATTTAACACTTATTTTAAAACTCTATGATGCAGGCCAATTATTATGCCCATTTTACAAGTGAGAAAACTGAGGCATTGCGAGGTTTAGTGACTTATCCCAAGGTCATATAGTCAGTGGCCAAACTGGGATGGGAGCCCAGGAAGTCCGGCTCTAGAGTCCACGCTCTTGCTGCAAAAGATGCTGTCTGCTCCCCAGAATTAACCATTTCTGAAGGTAACTGGCAGTGAAGACATTTATTCTCTTCTGGGTGAAGCCCCATCTTTGCCTACCAAGGTAAAGTCTTGGCCCCTAGACCATCCCTGAATAGTCCAATGTGGGGAAGTTTTTAAAGTTTTGGATTATTCAGACTAATCTGTGGTCAATACAGAGCATCTTTATTTAAATACATATTCAAGTTAGTGTCAAAAAGAGTGCACAAACTGCTGCTGGCCCTGGAGTTAGATGTTTCCTTACTGACCTCTGGTATCTCCGGATAACAGGCCCCTCCTGCTTAGTGTTGGGAAAGTCCCAGATTGATCTAGACACAACTAACAGCTATTATGAAAGATCTGTCCTGGAATCACATGTCTCCTCTCTAAAATCCAGCAAACAGCAATAGTCCCTAAACCTGGAGAATCTCATTGTGGCTGACCACATGCCCATCACCAAGGAGCCTGCAGGAAAGCCCAAGACAAAAAGGGGAGCAGGTGTCACCAGGTGGCCCCTTGATCATCATGAGGGTGTACCACAGTTCAAAGAGAAACAAGACGGGAGAAGACCCCAAGGGAGGGCAGTTCTAATATCCACTGACTCCACACCTGCACCCCTTAATTCAGAAATCCAACAGACATGACAAATTAGAAACTGATTCTGCTGGTATGCAATTTGCAAAGTCTACATTTGAGGAAAGATATGAACACTGACTAACGGCTTTTTTAAATCTAGGGATCATTCCATTGCTTTTCTAAATTATGTAAATACCCAAACATCAAACACTATAAAGTTTTTTTGCCTTTCAACTGCATTTGATATCAAAATCTGTTTCCTTAATACCTCTGTGTTACTTGCCATAACCTACACTTGTAACAAGTAGTAGAAAAAGCATTAATAAGAAAGCACTGTGAGCATAAGCTGCTTGCATAAACTAGATACATCTGGAGCTACCAATTTAGAGAAACTTGTGAATGGTTCCCCAGAGCAGAGACGTACAATGGATGGTAGAGGAAAGAAGAAGAAGAAGGTAACAGAGCAGTCTGTATTACAGCAGACCTTGTGAATCCCAAAGTGCTACAATGTCAAAGTGAGATCTAGACCCCAGCATTTATGAGATGGATGTGTTCCCAGGCGTTTTGAGAGAGGAGCCAAGTCACACCGGGAGAGTTCTCAATGGAAGACTGTCTCGCAGGAGAGACTCAAAGAGGACTCAGCAGCTGTCTTCACATTTTACACTTCCTTTAATTTGAACAGTCTCCTCTCTAGCTCCAAAGAGAAAGTGACAGATAGAGAGACAGATTTTCAATACGAAGAAAAACTTAGAAGTCAGCCTATCAGCAAGTGGAAAGTGTTTTCTTACAGGGCAGTGAATTCTCCTCCATGGTGGGTGCTCAAATGGAGATAGGAAAAAACCAAGGGTTGGGAAATCGGAGTCATTATTCTATGAGACTGACTTTTCAGTCCATGAGATTGGACTGAAAATTAGAAAATTCTTCAGTTTCCTTGTATATCTGAGATTCCAATGTCCTGTAAAATAAGAGAATTTGGCTAATATATGAAACAGTAAGGTTAAGCAGACTAAAATGGTAGAAAAAAAACAACAACAAGGTGGATTATTTTTTCCTTCCCAAACTCTAAGCAAGGCAACCTAAGAGGAAGAACTGGCCAGCCCGGCCATAATAACACCTGGCACCTGGGCAGTGCTTACCGTGGGCCAGGCTCTGGTCTAAATGATCTTCAGACCTCAGCTGGGTTGATTCTGAACAATTCTCAGTAGTGGCTCGTGAGCAGTAGAGCTGGGACTTGAACCCTGGAGAGCTGACTCCACAGCCCCTGCTCTTAATCACTCCACCATCCTGCCGCAGTCCCGTAAGAATGCAGAGCATTCGTTTCCTGCGGCTGCTGGAACAATGGACGGCAGTCTCAATGTCTTCAAACAACATAAACAAGTTCTCTCACAGTTCTGAAGGCAGAAACTGAAATCAAGGTGTTGGCAGGGCCATACTGTCTACAAAGTCAAGTTGTTGGTAACCCAGATATTCCTTGGCTTGTGACAGCATCACTCCAATCTCTGCCCCCATCTTCACATGGCCTTCTTCCTTCTGGGACTCTTTTCCTCTTCTTTATAAGGACACCAATCAATTGGATGAGGGCCCACCCTAATCCAGTAGGACCTCATCTTAACTGGATTACAGCTGTAACAACCCTCTCTCCAAATAAGGCAACATTCACAGGTGCCAGGGGTTAAGACTTCAACAAATCTGTTTGGGGGATGCAATTCAACCCCTAACATACTGTACCAAACTGGAGGCACCTAGAAGTGTTGACTCCAATTGGTAGCTCAGTCCTTGAGGAAAATGATGACCCGAGCAAATGTTTCCTTCCGTCTCTGCTCTGCCCCATTTCAGATGTTAAAGAAAAATTATGGGAGGGCATTGTTTTGGAGTGAGCTCCTGCACTAGGTCCCAACAGACCAAACTAAAGTGGCATCACTCATGCTAAGTGCCATTTAGTCAAGCTGAAACTTTAAGAAAGCTGGTGGTCCCCAAATAGACCAGTTTCTCTTGAAAACAAGAGATTCACAGCAACCCATCAGCAAGAGCTCAGTCTACCTGAGTCAGAGTAATAAGGAAGTCCCATTTGCTTTAACCATGACAAGAAAAGTGGTCTGAAGTAAGCTGATGCTAACCAATCAACCTTTAAAAAAAATACTGTTTCCTTGTTCCAACCTTACAAAACCACTGTTCTGCCATTGCCCAGCGGGAACTCTAATTCTATTTTATAGAATGGAGGCTACTGGATTCATGAATCATGAATAAAAGCCAATGTGATCTGTAAATAATTTTGTCTTTTGACACAAGGAGAACACCACCTCCCCCGTCACCAGCTCTGTTTATGACAATGATGCCAGAGGTAGCCTCTTCACATCCCTTTATGATTCATTCAGTGTGGCCAGTACAGATCTTTTACTAAAATTGTGCACTTGGTTCACCCTGGCCCACACATCTTACTTCCCTGCTGGAGGGCTGGAACACCATCCCCTCAACCCTGGTTCTTTTTCCTTTCTTACCACTGAGTCAGGGAGCTGAGAGGTTTGGAAGTCAGTGCGAATCCACATACAGGGAATCCCCCAGAGAAAGAACTGGATTTAGATGGGCTGTTTTCCCTCTGAGCTTTGTCCTGTCGGCTTCCCTATCTCCTCAACACCACCTGCCTCCCACACCCACTGACACACACGTCTCCAGAATGTAACTCTCCTGGCTGACAGGGAGGCACATTATTTAGGACTATGTTATCCCCTCTGCTCAAAAACAAATGAGCTCACTGAAGTGTACACTGGCATTTATCTGAGACCATGTTTATAAAATTCATGAATATGGAAATGGGCAGCCATCTTCCAGAATCCCTCACACCAAGAAAACTGGCACTGTCTGCTATAGGTGAAAACCTCTTCCCTTGAAGTCTCAACAACTTCTACCCAGAAGAAGAAAGAACAGCATATTCTTTCTCATACACACACACACGCATGCATGCACACACACACACACACGCACAGTATTTACCACCAGTCTGTGGTCTTGGAAGCAAAGTTTAATAATTGAATAGCTCAAGCACTTAATAACTCTTCCATATTATTAAGATACTATCCTAATATGTCTCATTTGTCAAAGATGGAAAAGTCTTGATATGGCATAAGGGTTTCAATCCCAATAGGAGTATTAATAGTAACAATAAAAATAACACAGCAACACGGTTTCTGTTGAGTGCCTGCCACATGCCAGCGACTGCTTTGATAATTTAAGAATTATATCTTATGTTGATTATAATCCTTATAATGGCTTCCAGGGTAAAAAGGTTTATTCCTGTTTTACATTTGATGAGGAGACTAGGGTTCAGAGAGGGTGCAGAAGTGAGTTACACTTTTGCCAACCAGGCCAGAAGATGAAAGCCACTTGATTGGGAAATGCTTTTGTATCAAAAGCACAAAATGAAATGGCTAGTGTTACTTGTTGGAAAAAAGTTAACTCTGGCAAGCACAAATGTAATTCAGTATTTGAGCAATACTTTTAGGAGGGTAAGAGAGTGGTTTATGTGAATTCTCCAAAATGCCATCATGAAAATTTTGATGATGAAAATCACCCAAAATTGCTAATTATCTGTCTTAGCCTGCCTATTCTACAAAGTACCATATGCTGAGTGGCTCATAAACAATAGAAATTTATTTCTCACAGTAGAGACTGGAAGTCAGAGTCCAGAATGGTCGAGTTCCGGTGAGGGCTCTTCCAGGTTGCTGTCAACTCTTTGCATCCTTAGGTGGTGGCAAGAGGCCTAGAAAGTTCTTTGGAGTCTCTTTTATTGTATTTTATTTTTTGGAGACAGAGTCTCACTCTATCCCCCAGGCTGGAGTGCAGTGGCGCAACCTCAGTTCACTGCAACCTCCACCTCTTGGGTTCAAGCAATTTTCAGGCCTCAGCCTCCTAAGTAGCTGGGATTACAGGTGCCCACCACCACACCTGGCTAATATTTGTATTTCTAGTAGAGACAGGGTTTTGCCATGTTGGCCACGCTGGTCTCGAACTCCTGGCCCCAGGCGATCCACCTGCCTCGGTCTCCCAAAGTGCTGGGATTACAGGCATGAGACACTGCACCCAGCCTCTGGAGTCTCTTTTATAAGGATACTTACTAATCGCATCTATGAAGGCTTCACTCTCATGACCTAATCACCTCACAAAGGCCCCACCCCTTAAAACCATCACATTGGGCTTAGGATTTCAACATACAAACTTTGGGGAGACATAACTTTCCATCCCTAACATTACTCAAATAGTATCTATATAGTCATTTCTAAATATACACGTATTTAGAAATTTCTAAATAGCCAGTAAACATACAACTGACTTGGCCTTGATATAACTGTTTCCATTTTCTTTTATTTTCATTCTACATGACATACTTTGGGTAATTATAAAATAATTAAAATTAGTTGATAAAGTATGGAATTAGAATAAACTAATTTTCTATTACTATGTAAGCCACGAAATGAATTAGGAGTTGTTGTTTTCAGTGAAACCTCTTCTAGTTTTTAAAGTGCATCGTCCAATTCCTTTTTATTTTGTGAAGATTTTAAAAACTAAAAAAAAAATCTTCAAATTGTTTGTGTCTTGCATTTCTTTAAATTTTGTGTTTAAACATCATGTTCTGCTAGTTGCTAGTCATTTTCTCTATCCCCTGCACCAGACCCTCTCTTTCTCAGGAAAGGATATCCAGGGGACCGGGTCCCAGTTAGTCAAGGAGATATAAGAGGAAGGCTAGAAGGCTTTCTGGGAAACATTTTCTTTTACCAAGAGAGAAGTGTTCAGAGGGAAAAGGTCCTTTCTCAGTTTGGCTCCCTCTTTGTGTTTTAGATCTGGTTGTGTGAGGATGCCTGGCTTGGATTGTGAGGGCATCTCTCAACAATGAGGTGACAAGCCTAGGGAGGAAAATCCACAGGTGAGAAGGTGACAGAATGAAGAGATGGTCCTTCACGACTTCTTTGAGTTACCAGGCCCAGATTTCCCGCCAACCTCCAGTCTTCTTGTTATGTGATCTGATATCATTATTTACTGCAGAGGCCACTGAGTGGCAGCCCTGTTACTTGTGTCTGAAAATTCAGTTCACTAAATTAATCAAAATACGGCACTCTTTTTTTGAAACCTTGCTCCAGAACCAAGTGGAAGGTAATGATGGAGTGCTTTTCCAAGTTCCAGGGAGGTGTCCCTACACAGCAGAGAGCTGTCCAGAGGAATGTAGATGTTGGCTGCGGGGAGATCTGAGCTGCCGGTTTCAGTCCTCTCCCTTATTTTATCTTAAACATACATGTCATTTTTTCATGCTACTCTATGCGGTTCTTTCAGCCAGGGAACATCGCTGAGCACCTGCTCACAGGCTGTATGGAACGCAGACTGCAGGGTGCGAGGGGCGGAGAGAGGGGGAGCAGCCACAGGCCCCGCAAGGCCGGGGTGGCCTGTTGTAACGATGTCTTAATCGCTGACCTAAGTGGATCCGCTCCTCTCCCGCCGCCCGCTCCCTGCCTGCAGCACAGAAGGAGGGTGGCTGGCTCTCCCCGGTGGGCGCAGGTGAGTCACGCTTCGCCCTCCCGGGTGGGCGCAGGTGATCCACGCTTCGCTCTCCCGGGTGGGCGCAGCTGAGCCATTGTTTGCTCTCCTGGTGGGCGCAGGAGAGCCACGCTCCGGGTGAGGACAGGTGAGCCACGCTCTATGGGAATCCTTCGAATCTTCATTCAATTTCCATCGCCTCCTTGTATTTATGTGGGAGGACTTTTAAAAATGAAGCCTATGCACAACGATGTAATAAGCGTTTATCGAACACCACTGTTCGGAGATAGGGCCCTGGTGGTGGTGCCCTGGCCCAGGTGCCACGCCCACGCCCCGCGCGCCGAACGCACACACGCACGCACGCACGCACGCACGTGCGTACGTACGTACGTACGGCGCAAGCCCGAGGGCGACAGCAGCGCGCAGGCGCACGTAGGTCCCCGCGCTTTTCGGAGGCCGCCGGCGTCCCAGACCGGCGGCAGGTAGGACTAGGTGACGGGAGGCGGGGCAGGGGCGCTGCTGACTCCTGTGGAGCATCAGGGTTGGGGCGTAGGGGAGAGGCGGGCGTGTGCCTCTGGAATGCTGGGGGGTCGCGGAGCGGGGGCTTCGCGTGAGGCCGTGGGAGGCGAGAGCCAGCCAGTGGCTGTGCCCTTTTGCTTCTTAGGGGAGGGTGGCTGACCCGCTAGCCCAGAACCAGACTCATCCAGGATTAGGAAGCTGGGTCCCGGCGTGGACAGCAGTCTCGGGGCCAGGTCTGCGGAAGGCTTTCTTTGGCAGAGCCTGTCCGGGGGCGGGGCCGCTTACCGCAGGCATTTACCCGGCCCAGCAGGGGTTCAGTCAGTTCCCATGTGACCCAGGCAAGCTCTTAATCTCTGTGATGAGAAAGAAGGGCTCATACCTTTCAGGGGTCATTGTGAGGAATCGGAAGAAGCAGTATTTTATAGAGTATTTTCTAACTGCTGAGTCTTCTGTCGAGTGCTTTGCAGAAGTAAAATACCTTGTCAGTTCCCCTGTGACCCAGGCAAGCTCTTAATCTCTGTGATGAGAAAGAAGGGCTCATACCTTTCAAGGTTCGTTGTGAGGAATCGGAAGAAGCAGTATTTTATAGAGTATTTTCTAACTACTGAGTCTTCTGTCTAGTGCTTTGCAGTACAATACCTTGTCAGCTCAGTGATGTTGCTGCGCTTCTTTTATAGGTAACAGAAAGACATTAAGAGATTTTCCTGCAGTCACTGCTGATAGAGCCAGGATCTGAACACAGGCAGCCTGGCTCCAGACCCTGTGCTCTTTAACTCCTGTTTTGCATCAAGAATAGAGTCCTGTGAAAGGCCTGACAGTGCTTGGTACTGAGTAGGCACTCCGTCAGTATTTTATAGCTGTTATTCCAAAGGACACTGTATTCTAGGTACTAAGACAATGTGAATGGAATGGAAAACAATTCCTCCCTGCAGAAGCCAACTATCTAGTTAGGAAGACAGTTAATCACATTATTAAAATAATCAGAACATTGGCAAAATAAAGAACATTGAAATGCAGTTCATATGACAGTGCTAATTAATCATACTTTTTAGATCTAGGAAAGGCCATAAAGGTTAAATTGTCTTGGAAATGGTAAACAAGACAATGGTTATGTCACTGATCAGTGATGGCCAGTTTTTCGTTATCCATATTTGTCATTTAAATGATTGAATTGAAAGGAAGAAGTAAGACTTGGAAGATGAATATTGAAGGAAAGGTGAAGATGGAAAGGAGAAGGGGTTTATTCTGAGAACGGTGACTAGAACTCTGAGGTATGGCAGAAATTTCAGGATAACAGATGATAAAGTGGAATGAAGCCATGGAAAGGAAGAGAATGATAACACTAATTGTAAAAGTTTGTGTCGGCCGGGCGCGGTGGCTCACGCCTGTAATCCCAGCACTTTGGGAGGCCCAGGCGGGCGGATCACGAGGTCAGGAGATTGAGACCACCCTGGCTAACATGGTGAAACTCCGTCTCTACTAAAAATACAAAAAAATTAGCCGGGCGTGGTGGCAGGCACCTGTAGTCCTAGCTACTCGGGAGACTGAGGCAGGAGAATGGCGTGAACCTGGAAGACGGGGCTTGCAGTGGGCCGAGATCGCGCCACTGCACTCCAGCCTGGGAGACAGAGCGAGACTCCGTCTCAAAAAAAAAAAAAAAGTTTGTGTCAAGTGTTTTCTCAGTCACCTTTCAGTTTCTCATTTCCAGTATTGTATAAATGAGTTTAAAATCAAAATGGTATAGTGAAAAAAACGATGAACTGCTTGGCAGGAGAGGTCAGATCTAGTTTTGACTCTAGCTTCTTTAGCTTTACAGCTTTAAATAAATTACAGTGTCTTTAAAGCTCTGGATCTTAAGTTTTCTTATTTTTTTTAAACAAAAATTTATGAACACCTTACAATGTGACAAATTCTTTGTAAGACATTATGGGAGATAAAAACTGTATTAAACATGGCTATTGCACTAAAAGAACCTGTTGTTTATTAAGCTGTACTTACAAGTAACTTGAAAGGCAAAATTTCAAATACTTGAGCCTTAAGTAGGGTTTCTTGGTTTTCATTTAATTGAAACACTGTTAGGAAACAAAAAAAAATTCCATAAATTTTTCTTGTGGATATGTAAGTAAATTCTATGTATCTAGCAATGTGATACATCCACAGTTCTGTTTAAATGTAACTTAATGTGAAGAAGCTTATGCAAATAACTCGACAGAAGAAATCTAAAGTAAAAGCATTTTACTAGTAGGCTAGCTTGTTCTCTAATTTATTGTAACAGAGATATTCTAGGGCATTCTGTTTAGGGTGATGAACTTATTCATGCATAAGTTATTAAAGCCATTTAAATATGCCATAGTTTAAATTTGTGATCCATGCTGTTCAATCTGTGACCTAGGATAGCAGCATCAAGGACCATTGTGTACATGGAGAAGTGCACAGTACCTGGATTGAAACTGCTCGTGTTCCATTTCTGGCACCATTCATAACTGACTGTGTGATCTCAAGTAAGTTCTTTAACTCTCTCAGCCTCAGTTTCTACATTTGTGTGATAAGGATAATGATAGTTTTCAGATTATTTTCATATTCATTATTTGATTTGATTGTCCCAGTGGTTCCTCTCACTTTGCAGATAAGAAAACTGAAGAACCAGCTGGGCGCAGTGGCTCACGCCTGTAATCCCAGCACTTTGGGAGGCCAAGGCAGGTGGATTACCTGAGGTCAGGAGTTCGAGACCAGCCTAACTAATATGACAAAACACCATCTCTACTAAAAATATAAAAATTAGCCAGGCATGGTGGCGGATGTCTGTAATCCCAGCTACTCGGGTAGCTGGGGCAGGAGAATCACTTGAACCTGGGAGGTGGAGGTTGCAGTGAGCTGAGATAACGCCACTGCCCTCCAGCAGCCTGGGTGACAGAGTGAGACTCTGTCTCAAAAAAAAAAAAAAAGAGAAGAAAACTAAAGAACCGTCAGTGATAGTAAAAAGTTCGCTTAAGCTCATTCACCTAGTTTCTTTTACAGCTCAGACTTAAACCTCTTGTTCATTTTGTTTTGCTTTATGTATCTATATTTCTTTTTCTGATTAATTTTAAATCCTTTTCATCTAAACCTTATGAATGCTTTCCCTACAGATAAAATTATGTAAAACAATTTAACTCATAAATTATTATTTAATCAAGTCTTTAATATTGAAGACTTCGTATTGATACGTCTTGAATACTTACAATCTATAGTTAACTAGATATTTCTCTTATAACCTGTCCTTATAAATCTATATTATAAATACAAAGTCCAGTGTCCCTTCCTTCAGATTAGCAGATATTTAAAAACTATATTTAAAGTTTTATGTCTTTGTTTTCTTCATACTGATTTTCATTTTTATTGTTTGTTATAGGACCTGTAAAATGCAGACCTCCAGCTCTAGATCTGTGCACCTGAGTGAATGGCAGAAGAATTACTTCACAATTACATCTGGCATATGTACAGGACGGAAGGCAGATGCATACCGTGCACAGATATTACGCATTCAGTATGCATGGGCAAACTCTGAGATTTCCCAGGTCTGTGCTACCAGACTGTTCAAAAAATATACAGAGAAATATTCTGCAATTATTGATTCTGACAATGTTGAATCTGGCTTGAATAATTATGCAGAAAACATTTTAACTTTGGCAGGATCTCAACAAACAGATAGTGACAAGTGGCAGTCTGGATTGTCAATAAATAATGTTTTCAAAATGAGTAGTGTACAGAAGATGATGCAAGCTGGCAAAAAATTCAAAGACTCTCTGTTGGAACCTGCTCATGCATCAGTGGTAATCCATAAGGAGGCCACTGTCTTTGATCTTCCTAAATTTAGTGTTTCTGGTAGTTCTCAAGAGAGTGACCCATTACCTAACTCAGCTCATGATCAAGATAGGACCCAGGACTTCCCAGAGAACAGTCCTTTGAAACTCCTTCAGACTGCCCAGCCACCTATGGTGACTAACACTGCTAAGGCTTGTCCTACATTCTTAGCACCTGTAGGTGACTCAGCCACTGCAAAATTCCATGTCACACCGTTGTTTGGAAATGTCAAAAAGGAAAATCACAGCTCTCCAAAAGAAAACATAGGACTTAATATGTTCTTATCTAATCAGTCTTGTTTTCCTGCTGCCTGTGAGACTCCACAAAGGAAGTCTTTTTATGATTCTGGCACCATTGATGCAGTTTCCAATCCAATACTAAATAAGGCTTGTAGTAAAACAGAAGATAATGGCCCAAAGGAGGATAGCAGCCTGCCTACATTTAAAACGGCAAAAGAACAATTGTGGGTAGATCAGCAAAAAAAGTACCACCAACCTCAGCGTGCATCAGGGTCTTCTTATGGTGGTGTAAAAAAGTCTCTAGGAGCTAGTAGATCCCGAGGAATACTTGGAAAGTTTGTTCCTCCTATACCCAAGCAAGATGGGGGAGAGCAGAATGGAGGAACGCAGTATAAGCCTTACGGGGCAGGGCCTACAGAACCAGCACATCCAGTCGATGAGCGTCTGAAGAACTTGGAGCCAAAGATGATTGAACTTATTATGAATGAGATTATGGATCATGGACCTCCAGTAAATTGGGAAGATATTGCAGGAGTAGAATTTGCTAAAGCCACCATAAAGGAAATAGTTGTGTGGCCCATGTTGAGGCCAGACATCTTTACTGGTTTAAGGGGACCCCCTAAAGGAATTTTGCTCTTTGGTCCTCCTGGGACTGGTAAAACTCTAATTGGCAAGTGCATTGCTAGTCAGTCTGGGGCAACATTCTTTAGCATCTCTGCTTCATCCTTAACTTCTAAATGGGTAGGTGAGGGGGAGAAAATGGTCCGTGCATTGTTTGCTGTTGCAAGGTGTCAGCAACCAGCTGTGATATTTATTGATGAAATTGATTCCTTGTTATCTCAAAGGGGAGATGGTGAGCATGAATCTTCTAGAAGGATAAAAACAGAATTTTTAGTTCAGCTAGATGGAGCAACAACATCTTCTGAAGATCGTATCCTAGTGGTGGGAGCAACAAATCGGCCACAAGAAATTGATGAGGCTGCCCGGAGAAGATTGGTGAAAAGGCTTTATATTCCCCTCCCAGAAGCTTCAGCCAGGAAACAGATAGTAATTAATCTAATGTCCAAAGAGCAGTGTTGCCTCAGTGAAGAAGAAATCGAACAGGTTGTACAGCAGTCTGATGGGTTCTCAGGAGCAGACATGACACAGCTTTGCAGAGAGGCTTCTCTTGGTCCTATTCGCAGTTTACAAACTGCTGACATTGCTACCATAACACCGGATCAAGTTCGACCAATAGCTTATATTGATTTTGAAAATGCTTTTAGAACTGTGCGACCTAGTGTTTCTCCAAAAGATTTAGAGCTTTATGAAAACTGGAACAAAACTTTTGGTTGTGGAAAGTAAATGGGATTCTTGGAATCAAAAGACGGCATCTCTGTAGTACAGTTTTTTTTTTTTTTTTTTTTTTTTTTAGCATAGAAAGTTGGGGATGTGTTAATTGTGTTTTTTAGAATATATTCTGAATTCTGTACTTCAAATAATAATAGCTCAGATTTTATAACTGATTGACATAGTGTATGTTAATGTAAGTTTTGCTCTCCAGTGATTACCTAATGTGTAAGCCTATCTGAACAAAGTGAGAATGAACTTTTGTTTCTAAGAAGTCTTTCTTGAAGCTATATAACATGAAAAGTGAGCTCAAATTTTTTTTTACTTGAAGGTTACATATAAAGTTGTATCTGATTAATATTCGTCTTTTATTGAAGAAAGTGCGTTCTGATGGCCACATAATTCTTAATGTCTGCTAGTATAATGGTTTACATTTGGACAAAGTATTGCTTAGTGTTATTTGAGTAGATTTAAGATCTCACTAAAAGCTAAAGTGCCAATTTTTACTTTCTTCAGCCAATTTGTTACCTCTTTTATGGTTGTTAATTTTTATCAGGACTAACATTTTCAGAAATAGCAAGGTGTGATCTAGTATTAGAGATATGTTCACAGAACTGAAAGCTTAATTAAGAATGTTGTTTACTTTCAGGGAAGCGTGTGATATTTAACATTAATATTTTATTTGACACTATAGCCTGTAATACTGCTCTCTTTCAAAAATAAGTGTTTTCAGATTTTTATAACAGACCCATTTTGTTTTATGAAACATGTTCATTACAGTGAAGCATGTTCGTTACAGAAATATGAGAAAATAGAGATAAGTAAAAAGAATAAAAATCACTGTTATCCTACCACTTTGTGGGACACACTATTAATATTTAAGCATAGATTTTTCCAGATGTTTTGTTTTATATAGCAGTAGGATTGTATAATGTATTCTGTCTTGTAGCCTGCTCTTTAAAGCGTATCTTTACATGTTGACGTAAATGTCCTTTTATGATTGTCTAGGATTCCATGGATGGATGGACTATAATTGAGTCATCTGGTAGAGTGCATATAGGACAGGACACTAGGTTGTTTATCTTTTGTTTATTGTAAAGGAACTATGTGGGATGCAATTGGTGATCTTTTTAAAAAATGTATAAATTTCTTGAGTAATTCTTGGATTAAAGAATATGTACTTTTTAATGCTTTTGGCTTGCATTCTAAATTGTCCTCTTGAAAAAGTAGTTCCTGTGTAAAACTCCATCTGCACTGAGTCAGAGCTGTGGCAGCATTGGGCAGGAGGCAGTTTTGGTATTTGTTGGCATTCTTTTTGCATTTATTCAAAAAACTGAAGGTACTAAAGGTAGAGCAATGAACAACACAAATATCCTTAGTCTCATGGAGGTTACATTTAAGTTCTAATATTTTCTCTTGTGAACAGTGCAATTTGAAATGACAAATTGAAACACTTAGTTGTTGAATTTAGACAGTTTGTGTATGGATAGTTTAAATTTTTATCCTTGGTTTGCCTTCTGTTTTTATGTTAAAAGATTGTTGTTGCAATTTTCAGTGTTTCCCTTTGTAATATGTGATTGTCTTTCATTAGTATTCATTTTTTGTTTTGGTTGTTTTGAGACAGAGTCTCGCTGTGTTGCCTAGGCTGGAGTGCAGTGGTGTGATCTTGGCTCACTGCAACCTCTGCCTCCTGGGTTCCAGTGATTCTTGTGCCTCAGTCTCCCTTGTAGCTGAGACCACAGGTGTGCACCACCACGCCCAGCTAATTTTTGTATTTTTAATAGAGATGGGGTTTCACCATGTTGCTGAGGCTGCTCTCGACCTCCTGGCCTCAAACGATCCACCCACCTCAACCTCCCGAAGTACTGGGATTACAGGCGTGAGCCACCATGCCTGGCCTTTTTTATTAGAATTTGAATGTTAAACTTCTTGTCTTCAGTTCTTAGTTATATCTTTTAACATCCTAAAACATTTCACAGTATTCATTACTATCTTTATCTCTTTATATAAACAGCACTATAACCTTGGGTTTTTTGGTATTGATGTCAAGGAATTCTCTAGTTTTTCTTTCCTGCAGATCACTCCCACCTTCTTGGGTCTTACAATTACTGTGGCTGTTTAGATTTGTCAGCATTTGCCCTCTAGCTGTTAATGTTTTATTTAGCTCTGTAATTTGGTCTTAATATTTATTACCAGTTTTTTTCAGTTACAGCTTCTGCCAGCCCTGACTTTAAGCTCCCTTGACCACCAACCACAGGGCCACTTCTTTCTATGGAGTTTAGAAATTGTGACAAGGAGAGAAAGTCTAGTTGGTTTAGCTCATCTTGCATTAGCAGAGCCCATGTCTCTGGTTAGCTCAAGAAATGGCCCTTCCTGAATTAAGGTCTACTATTCTGTTAAATAAGAATCTTAACCTGAAAGGAATAGTCAGGATATTTTAAAACTGGAAAGAAAATTTGAGCTGGGGAGTCAACTGTTGTTTCTACGGTATACCACAGAGAAGAATTCTTTGTCTCAACACTTTGTGATTTTGAGTGTTTCTGAAGCAGCTGGGTAGGAGGCTTACTGAAGCTTTAAGATTTCTTACTCTTGCCACATGTGATTGTCTTTATTGATTGCAATAATCTTGGGTTAAATTCTCTTGAGTGTGGCACTGCCCTGTCTTTAGCCATTGCTTCAGAAACATGAATGCTAGCCTGATATTTAATGTCTTTAAAAATTACATTCCCTTAGTAGAAATACACATTTTACCAAATCTGTCACTTGGTTATGGTATTAATGCTTAACAATTTTGATATGAATATGGTAATTCTAATTTATAATTTCAGGCCTTCTTAAATCTTTTTATTATACATGTAATAATATATTATCCTTTTGATATGTATTCATTCTGTGGTAAATTTCTAATTTTTCTGAAATTTTAACTCATTTTCTCATTTCTAAAACATTTCTTAGGTCTGCTTTTCATATTGACAAGCTGGTCTTGATGGAATCATAGTCTAAAGTGGACTGTGGAGCCAAATAGACCTGTTGAGTTCTGGCTCTGTCATTTACTGGTGACTGTTGGTTACTTAATTATTCAATCTCAATTCTAAAGTGCGTATAGTTTATATCTGTCTTGTTGGAGAGTGAGGATTAAATAGTAAAAGGCAGATTTAAAAGGCCTGGTTCATGTTTTATGATTGTACATTTTCTTTGAATCTGCCTTGATTTTGCTCTTGTTGCTGTGAAGGATCTTTTCAACTATTTTGTGTGGTTGTCCTAGCTCATTCTGCTTAATGTTTGTGGTATTTGCATCATATTATTAGAGATCATATGCCATCTATCTTTAGTTTTGTGGAAAAATTCTAATTCCAGAGAAATATCTTCTAGTTATGTTTCTCCTTTTCTACACTTTAGAACTTTTTTAAAGGTCTGTCCCAGATTATTTTTTTTCTCTGCTCATGCTTATATGTTATTTATTGGTCTCCATTGTTATTTCCCAGTGTTTGTTTTTTTTTAAGGGACACTTTACAGCCCACCTTTAGGGATCTGAATAAAAGAAAGGATTCTATCAAGATCCATGGCAAAAGGACAGGTTGGATAAAGATAGCATCTTTTAACTTCCTTCTTATATTCCTAGTTCTTGTCCTCGGTTCGGGAGTTGGTGGTGAGGGAGCACATTTTAAACAGTTTAAGCAGGTGGGACCATCATGACCAGCAGCCTGGGTGAATGGAGGGAGTCTTGGGAGAATAGATAAGATGCAGTCACCACTTTTAACTCTTGCCCTTAAAAAATACTTTTAGGCCGGGCGCGGTGGCTCAAGCCTATAATCCCAGCACTTTGGGAGGCCGAGACGGGTGGATCACGAGGTCAGGAGATCGAGACCATCCTGGCTAACATGGTGAAACCCCGTCTCTACTAAAAAATACAAAAAACTAGCCGGGCGAGGTGGTGGGTGCCTGTAGTCCCAGCTACTCAGGAGGCTGAGGCAGGAGAATGGCGTAAACCCGGGAGGCGGAGCTTGCAGTGAGCTGAGATCCGGCCACTGCACGCTAGCCTGGGCAACAGAGCGAGACTCTGTCTCAAAACAAAACAAAACAAAACAAAACTTTTACAACACAGTTTATAATGGAAAGAGCATTAAAATGCACGTTAGAAAACTGCCAGTGATTCTAACCTTAGACAGTTTGTACAAACTCCCTAAGATCTGTTTTTTTAGTGATAAAAGGAAATTGTACTGGACAATCCTCAATGACACATCCAGATTTCTGTTATCACTTACCAAAACTTTATGAATTTGAGAACTGCTTCTAGGCTATCAGGTGCTGGGTACTGGGAGGCACAAAACAAAGTATAGTCAGGTAAGGGCTAACTTTATTACTAATTTGGCTCATTATAAAAACAATGGGAAAACATGAAGAGAGGGCTTTATTAAGGAGTTAAGTCAGCATAATGGACCACTTAATACATAATAAACCACTTAAGGGAAAAAGGAAGTCCACATAAGGTGGCATTTTATAAAGGCAACATGCTGTGGTTAAGGACACTTGGGCCATTGGTGTTTTGTGACAGCTGGGCTCAGGCATCTCAACAAGCAGTGGTGTGCCTGCTGACCAGCAGGGCCTGCCATGGCCAGTGAAGCCCAGCTATTAGAGCTCTCTCAATCCATTTCTGCTCAGAAATGTAGAGATGGCAGGGAAAATGTAGCTAAGTCCCAGGTTCCTCAGATATGGCCAGGGCAAGCACACCCATACTACAACAACCTGGACTGTCAGGCCCCGGTTCTCATCCCCAGGTGTGATGAAGCCATGCGGTCCCAGAGAGGGAGCCATCCACTTGGTAGTCTTGGTAGTCCCATGCTGTAGTGTCAGAGTTGCACCTTACCTTTGTATCCAAGAAATGCATGCAGCTCAACTTTCCCTTAAAAGGCTTCTAGGAAAAAACTACCCCAGCATTTTTTTTCCCCCTAGAAGAATATATTAGCTTAATAAGAAAAGGTATAGTATCAAACTTTTCATTTAAAATAGTGGCCTAAGCCACAAATTTACCTTTCCTGCCCATATGTGCAAAATTTTTATTGAAATGAAAAAATACACACTAAGAATAAATCCAGTGTGATGTTGGAAAAGAGGGAAGGTTACCATTTTCAAATATGACAGGTGTTTCTGGAGGTCACAAGGCAAATTGTATTGGGTTGTTGGAATCCCTGAGCTAAATAATGGCTGTGAAAACACCAGCTGAGATTGGTTATTTCAGCAGTGCCTGGGCTGTACCCCTAGCTTAGGTAGCAAAATAGGCTGTGGGCCAGTGGTCTGGTATCTGATAGGATTGCCAAGACAAGCCTTGCAGAGCTCATGCCCCACTGTTTCTTATGGAGCCACTGGGAAGTGGAGTTCCCTAAATCAGGGGGAGTCATTTACAGTCGCCTGGCTTTTGTGGGCCCTGCAGCCTGAGAAGTGAGTCAGGGTGGCAGGTACTTGGTTGCCACGTTAGACGGAAGCACAAGTATTTGATGAAGCAGTGGAACTTCTTGATGTAACTAACTCCTGTCTCAGTAACTTTTTACCTACTTCCACACTTTTTTAAGGGTCGACCCCCACTTCCTACAGTTTCTCTATATCCTTGCCACTGACACGTGCAGGCTTACGCCAAGACATAGAGGAGGTCATGCTGACGCCACAGTTAACACATCTCTATCCACAGCTGGGTAATATGAAAGACAATTGCTAAGGAAGCTTTCCCCTGTCAGCATACTGATCACTTTTAAAGTATAACTTAACATTACCTCCCCTTGCAAAAATCTTCCAAAAGATTCCCATCTAAATGAAAATAAAATCCAAATTCCTTCCTAGAGCCAAATATCATTTCTCTTCACTCTCCTTACTTTGCTTCATCCCACTGGATCTTAAGGTGCAACAAACATGCTTCTCATATAGGAAGTGTGGTAGGCAGAATTCTGAAGATGTTCCTCCAAGAGACCCATCCGCTGCTTATTCAGTCAAATCTAGGCACTGCTGGGAAGGGACTTTGCAGAGGTAATGCGGTTACAGACCTTCAGATAGGGAGGTTATCTTGAATTATTTGTGTAGGGCCAATCTAATTTCATAAGTCCTTAAAAGCAGAGAATGTTCTTTGACTGGTTAGAGAAGAGGAGGGCTGAAGAGGCAGAAGAAAGATGTGGCAGAGAGGGTGTCCAAGATTCCAAGCATG